AGGAAGGAAAGGGGCTTTGGAAGGAAAAAAGAGAAGGAAGGAAGGAAAGATGCTTTGGAGAATAAGCCAACCCCCTCTTCTCTGTGACATCCTCTCAAATATTAGAAGACTGCTAAGTCTTCTCTTTGTTAGGGTAGGCATACCTAATTCCCTTAACTGGTCATCATACAGTTTTCACTTCCAGTCCCATGAACCATGCCAGAAGGTCTTGGTTCAAGCTCCTCAAGGACCGAAGGCTTGGAGACTTGGGGCCTTCCGCAACTTTCCTGCTGCTCTCTCCACGACAGAACGGATACACTCCTTTGCACATCGCAGCCAGGCAGAACCAAATGGAGGTGGCTTGCAGCCTATTGCAATACGGTGCTTCTGCCAACGCGGAATCCACGCAGGGAATGACGCCGCTACACCTGGCAGCCCAGGAGGGCCACGCCGACATGGTGGTGCTGCTCCTTTCCAAGCAGGCAAATGGCGACCTTGGAAACAAGGTGAGTAGGGTCTTTTTCTTCGTTAACCTCTTCGGGAGGATGGTGTCAGGGTTCCGACGATTGCCCTAATGAAATTGTGAGCCTCGAGCCAAGCTTCAAAGGAATCCAAAAGATTTATTAGGAGTAAACATGCCGGCACTGCCTGGGTGTAGCCGACTCCGAGACATGTAATTCATTGTCACCCTTGACCCTGGTCTTCCCCCACCCCCTGGGTGTATTGTAATTCATATTCTCCAATGGGACACGTCCATAGCCAAGAGTCATCAATCATACTCTCCAGTAATCTTGCACGCCAGTAGCCTCAGTCGCCTAGAAATGATCCATGAAAATATTTAAGGAATGTACTATTTCTCCCACTCCCTTTCTGCTGACAACTCTAAAAAACCAGAGAAATATTTTTGAGTTGACATTTAGTTAATCTTGTAATCCTTCCAGAAGTCTCAGACGAGGGACACCGACTTGATTTTCCTTGCCTCTACAAAGAGCAGATGCTTCTATTTAACAGCATTCCCAGGGGGTACAGCTGATACGCAACACAACAGAAACACATCGAGTTGCGTTGCACACCTGCAATTGTCCCAAAAGCACCTCTTGTAAAAGTACTGTGGTGTGGTGGCCTAGAGGCGGAGCTCTCGCCTTACAGTTGGGAGGCTGTGAGTTCGTAGAGGTTAGAGGCTGATATTTCTCTTTCTGGGCACAATGAGAATATATTTGCCGGACAAAACTCCGCATTGGCAACAGGAAGGGCATCCAGCCAATAAACCCTCAGCTCCATTCAGTTGCCCCGACCTCATCCCTCATATTATGGATTTGTCAAACGACAACACATATAAAAAGACACAATAATGCCACCCGATGGCTCTTTCACTCTCTCTCTTTTTTTAAGAGAGTGAAAACGATCATGGATGAAAGCATGTATTTAAGAGAGTGAAAACGGATTATGGATGAAAGATGTCCCTCGAGCGAGACCATCATTACACCAATTATGCGTAGCACTGGTAAATGCCTTTCCATGCTTTAAGGCATCTGCTAGGGGATAGCAACTGGATGGAATCTGTTGCTTTATCCTCTTGTTTTGTAGGTTTTCTATAAACACCATCTTTTTGGCTGCCGTTGGAGAAGATCAAATTTTCTCCTCGGCAGCAGTGTTCCTCTTCCGTTCGTACACTGCCAATTTTTTAAAAAGGAAAATAAAAAACTGCCCTGGATCTTTTTGGACCTCTTTTTATTAAAACAATAAAACAAGATAGAGTGAGGAACTACCATCTGTGTGAGTCTGCTTCTTCTACCATCCTCCCCTCTTTGGATGTTTTACTCAGCTGGTGAAGAGCCCCAAAGCTGTTGTAGGTTGTCCTCAAAACACTACTACCCTTGGCATTTTTCCCAAACAGCGACCCACAAACCACCTGCTGTGGGCAAGAGGGACAAGAAGAGTCCACCATCTGGAAAGCGGTGGAAGAAAATAGCTTCAGGCTCGATCCCAAGCTATAGGAAGTAGAAGCACTTTGCCGGCTGCTTGCAAATCCAGATTGAGCCCAGACGAATTTAGCTCTGGCCTTGAGAAGTCGCTCCAGAGAGGTAGAAGCGGGGTGCTCAGCCTCCAGAAAAGTTAAAAGCACGAGAAAAAAAGCAGAGAAATTTTGAGGCTTTGCCATTGAAAAGGGGGTACTTTTGGACAGGCGTTCAAGAGTGCTTAATATAACCTAGCGTCAGGATTCCAGCACTTAATCCCCATTTAAATCCTGAGCCTCCAGCCAAACTTCCAGAACTTCCAAAGGATTTATTGGAAGTTATCATGTCCAGCACTGCCTGGGTGTAGCCGACTCTGAGACACAATTCATTGTCACCCTGGACCCTGGTTTCCTCCCACCCCCTGGGTGTATCCTAATTCATATCCTCCAATGGGACACATCCATAGCCCAGAGTCATCAATCATGCTCTCCAGTTGGAATTTTGCAAGGCAGAAACTTCAGTCACCTAGTTACTATCTTTGCAAAACTATTTATGGAATGCACTTTCGATTTCCAAGCTGCTGGACTGCTCCCCCCTTCCTTTCTGATGGCAACTCTAAAAAAAAAAGACCATAGAAATATTTTATGAGTTGACACCAAGAACAATAAAGTTCTAGCACTTGAGGAATCTCTGTTCCTTGATCTGGTTTTCCTTGAAGAACGGTTTTTTTTTCTTTTTTTTTTAAAGAAATTTTTATTTAGACAAGCAACATAGACAGTTTATACTCCTTGCAGACAGCTGGTCATTTGCATCCTTTTAGAGGGTCGCTGAGGCCACTTGGGAGTTTATCTGTGTCCTCAGGATCACCTGAGTGGTGCAAATGGTTCCTGTAGTCTGCAGTTTTTCCTCTGGAAATCCATTCCTACTCCCACCCCATTCCGAGGGTCTTCATCCCAAATCGTATAGCTAAAAGTCTGTAGAGATTCTCCATCATCCAGGTCATAATTGTCCCAAGGTGTTTTTTTTCAAGAGGCAACTGGACTTCCTTGGTTTTTCTTCGAAGACGTTTCGCTTCTCACCCGAGAAGCTTCTTCAGCTCTGATAGGAGGATTCCTAGGATCAGTTTCCAGATTCCTCTTTGGGCAACTTGGATTGTTTTTCATTCTAGAGTGGCCTCACCCCGCTCCACCTGGTGGCCCAAGAAGGACACCTTAATGTGGCAGACAACCTCCTCAGGCATGGAGTCCAAGTGGACGCAACGACTCGGGTGAGTCCATCATCCCATAGGAGCAGTGGGAGGAGCCAGCCCCCAGTGGGAGGAGCCACAGAATTGCGAGCAGCGGGACAAATCATGTGGGTTAAGAACCAAGAGAAAGGGACTATAAGGAGCTGAGCTCAGGTTGCTTGTTCTGGTGGTTTTCTTCCGATCTTGCAAGGATGGGAGGCCATGGTATTTATTTTATTGATTTGTTTATTTGCATCCTGCCTTTACTGTTTTTTTAAAGATATCTCAAAGATTGCAAACATTTCCAACTCACCTTCCTCCTCTTGTTTTCTCTACAACAACAACCCTGTGAGGTGGGTTAGGCTGAAAAAGAGTAACTGGCCCAAAGTCACCCAGCTGGCTGTCAGAATAGAATAGGAATAGAATAGGAATAGGAATAGGAATAGGAATAGAATAGAATAGAATAGAATAGAATAGAATAGAATAGAATAGAGGAAAAAGGAATAAAGGAATAAGGGAATAAAGGAATAGAGAAGAGAAGAGGTGAAAAAGGAATAAAGGAATAGAGTAGAGTAGAATAGAGTAGAGTAGAGAACAGAAGAGAACAGAAGAGAGCTGGAAGGGACTTTGGAGGTCTTCTAGTCCAGCCCCCTGCTCAAGCAGGAGAACCATTTCAGACAAGTGACTGTCTAATCTCTTCTAATCTCTTCGCCCATGATTTCGGAAGGCTTAAGGCCGGACTAGAATTCACCGTCTCCTGGTTCTGGAGCGGGCTGTTGAGTTCCCTGGAGAGGCTGTGAGGCCTAATAGTCGTTGTGAGGTCTATCCCTGTTTATTTTTGCCTTCCAGATGGGCTACACCCCGTTGCATGTGGCTTGCCATTACGGGAACATCAAGCTGGTGAAATTTCTGCTGCAGCATCAGGCTGACGTCAGTGCCAAAACCAAGGTATGAGACAGGTCTGTCCAGAGCCGGGCTCTTCAAACCTGACAGCTTGAAGACTTGTGGACTTCAACTCCCAGAATTCCTCCTCCTCCAGTCATGTTAGCTCAGGAATTCTGGGAGTTGAAGTCCACAAGTCTTAAACTTGCCAAGTTTGAAGACCCTTGGTCTAGAGAGATGGGCAGGTAGGGTCAAAAGAGACAAGATGGAAGCAACAACCAGGCTGTTGAAGCCCCACCCCTTTTATGGACATCCCAACACCTGTAGAAGTATAGACACCCCTGCTGTTGGAGGCCCACTGTGTCTTTTTCATTGCTCTGGTCTCTCTCTCTCTCTCTTTTGTTAGAGTTTGCAGCAGAAATTCACGTCCAGAAAACACATACATGGCTGATTCAGCAGGATCGTTAACTTCTTTATAAACATAATAACATAAAGTAAAGTTTACAATACCATTTGTAGATTCTTTTCAACGTAACATAAGCAAAAACACAAGCGGCAGCGGCTCAGAGGGCTCAGAACAGAACTCTAGTTTCAGCAAGCAAGCAAGTCACTTTCACTTTCACTTTCACTTTAGAGCTGAGCACAGAACAGAGACAAACCACGGCCAGATGCTCTCTTTAAGTTTCAGCCCCCAATTCAGCCCTCATTGGCTGACCTTGTGACTAAGCTCTATTCCAGTTCATGAATATACTCTGACATTTTTTTCCCCCTCTTTCAGCTGGGTTACACGCCTCTGCACCAGGCAGCCCAACAAGGCCACACCGACATCGTCACCCTTTTGCTCAAGCATGGGGCTTCGCCCAACGAAGTCAGTTCGGTGAGTGTGGGAATCCAATCCGGCCGCGTGTGAGCCAGCAGCACATGGCTGGCTCACGTTATTAAGTGATTGTCCCTCTCTGGTATAATTTTATTAGGCTGCCAGACTCAGATTTGGTGTAGAATTTGGAATGCTGTTTTGAATAATAGTGGACACGCGATCCCAGTCAGGATTTGCATAATTGTGAATAATCACCCTCCTTCCTTCTTTCCTTCCTTCCTTCCTTTTTCTTTCTTTCTCTCTTTCTTTTTCTGCCTTCCTTCCTTCCCTCTCTCTTCCTTCCTTCCTTCCTCGTTCTTTCTTACTCTCTCTTTCTTTTTCTCCTTTCCTTCCTTCC